GGCGCACGGCCAGGTGGGCGCGTGTGGACGAGGCGGAGCCGGGCCTGTCCTCGGAACCGCGTCTTCACGGGCGGACGTGCCGAGCCGGGGGAGCCTCCCGCGGCCGGGCTGGTGCTCCCGCGGCGCCGCGAGGCCGTCGGCTCAAAACCCGAGCGTCCTCGCGGGAGTCGGAGCCAGAAACGGGGCCGTCTGGTTCGCTCCGGTGTCCTTTCTGTGATCCGGTGCAGACGGGGCCCGTAGTCCTCGGCGTAGCTGCTTTTCACGTTAAGGCCATTGCGCTCTGCTCTTGTAAAGCTCGCCTATGCGAGCCGAACGGGCGAAGGATGCGCCGTCGCCCCCTGAACCACCTTAGAAACCAGCTCGGCCCCGGGGGTGCTGCCCGGCGTCCTTCAGACCGCGTCGCCAGAGAAACGACCGCGTGAAGGCTCGTTCCCGGGGCTCCCGTAGCCTCTCGGGCAGACTCGAAAGCGCCTCGGCCTGAGAATTGCCTCCTTTTGTCTTTGTCCCTAGTTCAAAGAAGAAATCTCCAGGCGGTTTAAAGCCAAACAGGATCAGCTGGTTCTGATCTTTGCGGGGAAGATCCTGAAGGATGGAGACACGTTGAGCCAACACGGGATCAAAGATGGACTGACTGTGCACTTGGTGATTAAGACCCCACAGAAGTAAGAAATCGTCCTTTCCCGGGGTTTTAGGAAATGACACCGCGTGTTTGTGAGTTCCTGGCCGTCGAGCGTACGAGTTCAAATTCGGGGGGCTGCGGGACTTTGCTCTAATTGGGTCTTGGCTCCCGGGCTCCTGGGTTTCTTAAAGCTTTGCAGAGTTGACGTGCTTTGAAATCTTACGAGTATTAGTTGTTGCGTGTAAGAACCTATTAAAGCAGGGATTTCTCCGGGTGACAGGGCGGATATGGAGATTAAGTCACTTGCTCATAGCCATGCGAAGCCAAAACCTTGCGCTCCAGGGTCCCCGCGGCTGCGGGGTCCGACCGTCCTGTGCGCTGGGAGATCTTTCAGCAAGAGGCGTTCAGTGAGTGTAGGGTATTATCAAGAGCACGTAACGATGTTTTTGGGGGTAACCTTTCAGGCAGACCAGAGACATGGGTGTAGATCAACATATTGGAAAGCTGCTGCTGGGTGACTCTTAAGTTATAGTTGTCTAATGATTCCTGGTGCCGTCGCCGCATTACAGATGCAAGCAGGCCTCCTTGTTCCTAATGGCCCTTTCCCACCATTCCTGGGACTCGTCTTTCCATCTGAGCAGTGGGCGTCATTAAACAGGCTCACGCTCCTTTTGAAGCTGTGTTGTCCCCCACCGGGAGCGCCTCCTCCCTGGCTTGTTAAAAATCAGTACCTCTTTTCTGAAGCCACACGAATTGTCAGCTACTGTTGGAGGCTTTTGTACAGAACAGTACCTCTGCACGGAGCGTGCTGATGCCATGCTGCTTCCCGCTGTCTCCGTGATAAACCTCAGCACTTGCAAACTGTCTCCTGGGGTAAACTAAAAACTGGCCCATCATTCATTTTTGTCTTTCTAACGGTCACCGGCATGTATGCATCGCAGCCTTTCCTTCCTCTGCTGAGAGAGTCCAAGTGACCCTGATCTTTCTACTTTTTTTTTTAATTTTTTTTTTTATTAAACTTCCTATTTCCCATCTGCTTGGCTTCTCCCCAGTCTCCCTGACTGCAGCCGCTGCTGTGGTAGCAGCGAAATTAGTTTGTAAAATGCTTGGGATTAAAAATTGCCATGGAAAGTTCCATGGAGGCAAAAAAATCCTCATCCAACAATTTCTGTCCTCCCGGTAGCCGCAAGCCTGCTCCCTGGGTAGTTATTCTGAAGTATTTTTCCTAGGGCAAGCATCTCACAGCAGCTGGCTAGGCATGCTCTATTTCAGCTGCTTTTGGAGGGGAGGCTGAGTGAATGGAGGTGGATGGCAGAGAGATCTCGGAGGGCTGCAAGGGGAGAAGGGCTTTCAAAGCAGCTGGCCAGCTGTGATTTCTTTCCAAGACACTGGCCATCTGCAGTTTCAACCCCTTTAAGGGCCACCTCTGCAGATTCTCCTTTCCCAGTCTCATTGCTTTCCTCCCGCATTCACAGCTTTCCCATAAGGTTTTTGTCTCTCCTTTTAGAAAGGCAGTCAGCCTTCCTTTCTGCTCAGTGCAAGGAGCTACCTCCCTGCAGTCTGTTCAGGTACTGGGGGCAGCAGGTTCTCTTGCCGAGTGGGCAAGGAAGGTATTAACCCTTCTTTGTGGTTGAATGGCCAGTTTATGGGAAGGGGGCATCATTTGCAAACCACCTGATGGTTCCACATTCATAATGGCATTGACATGCACTGTAGCCCCCTTTTTCAGATGAGTTGCTGGTAGTTCCAGGGGTCATGCCCACCTTCCCATTGGGGATTGGAACTTTAACTGCTTTTGGGTTTTAAAGTGTCCTTCCCCCCCCCCCCCCATTGCTGTATGAGAGAGAGAAATGAGGAAGGGAAACTAGCAAAGCTAGAACAGCTGTGGTAGCAAATGGCTTCTCACCCTGCCAGTGTGGGTGTGTCCTCTTAACCTTAACAAGCTTGCTCATGGATCTGACTAAGCTTGGGTGCAAGTTTCTGCAGCATCAGGGCCTTGCTTCTCTCCCATTTCTGCTTATAATATGCCCTGTTGGTTGAAGAGAAAAGAACATGAGAAAGTCAAGCTGGAAGGGACCTTATACGGTCATCTAGTCAAGCCCCCTGCTCAAGGCAGGATCAGCCCTGACTCAGATTCACAGAAATTTAGGGCTGGAAGGGACCTTGTGAGATCATTGGGTCCAGTCCTCCTGTTCTTGGCAGGAAAGACCACTGGGGTCAAATAACCCCAGCAAGACTCAGCCATCCCAGCCCAGTGTCTGTCCAACCTGCCCTTAAACATTCCCAGGGATGGAGACTCCCCCACCTCTCTAGGTGCCTGTTCCAGTGCTTGACCACCCTCCAAGCCAAAAAGCTCCTCCTCATCTCCAGCCTAAATTGCCCTGTTGCATCTTAAGGCCATTGTTCCTAGTCCTGTTCCCTGCAGCCACAGAGGAAAGCCCATCTCTGTTATATGTGGTGTAAAAGCCTGTTATACATGGTGCAGTCAAATGAGTCAAGAATGCTGGTAACCAACTAGTTGCTTTTTTGATATAAAACACAAAAGTCAGTGCCTGCTTAGGGACCAAACTCCTCTGAGGTGCATTGACTGAATTAAGTATATACCAACATCGCTTCTCTTCTCATTGCCTTGGGTGAGAGCAGGTGGTTTTGGATGTGATGGCTCTACATCCCCCTTGACCGGAGGTGGTCACTCCCAGCTTTTTTTCTTGAACTGCAGAAGGGAACCGGCTGTGTGAGTTTCCCTGCCGCAGCGGTGACTGTCTCTTCTCTCTCTAGGGTTCCAGATCCTTCAGCTGCTGCTGCCTCTGCTACTTCTGCTGCTGCCTCCACCCCTGTTGCAACACCTGCCTCTCCCGCTGCCCCATCTCAGCCTTCCACGTCCAGCAGCGCCGGCTCCGATGGGGGAGGTGGCAGCCGGCGGAGCAGTGGGTCGGGGACCACGGGGGGTGCTGGAAATGGAGCACCCAGCAACCCTGCATCCATCCTCTGTGAGTGATGTGGTTGGTTTCTCTGCCCGTATAGTTCAGCCTATGCATCCCTCTTTTTCCCAGCTGAAAGTGCTTGTCCTGATAGTCTATCTCTCTCCAGCGGGTTTTGGAGGCATCACTGGCCTCGGCAACCTCGGGATGGGCTCTGCCAACTTCATGGAGCTCCAGCAGCAGATGCAACGGCAGCTGATGTCTAACCCGGAGATGCTATCCCAGATCATGGAGAACCCCCTGGTGCAGAACATGATGTCTAATCCTGACCTGATGAGGCAGATGATCATGGCCAATCCCCAAATGCAGCAGCTCATGGAGAGGAACCCTGAGATCAGCCACATGCTGAACAACCCAGAGCTGATGAGGCAGGTGGGTGAGAGGGTCGAGGTCCAGAAACCTGCCTCTGAATCCTTCCCTGTGGGCCTGAGACTGAGCTTTCACCATTTCAGTGCTTGTCTCTAGGATGCTACCGAGCCGTTTAGCCCATAACAACGCATGCTGGAGTCTTTTATGGTGCAAACTGCCCTGATCTTCCCAAACTCTCCTCCCACAGACGATGGAGCTGGCTCGCAACCCCGCCATGATGCAGGAGATGATGCGGAACCAGGACCGAGCCCTGAGCAACCTTGAGAGCATTCCAGGAGGATACAATGCCCTGCGCCGGATGTACACAGACATCCAGGAGCCCATGTTCAGTGCAGCAAGGGAGCAGGTATGGAGGGGGCTTCGGGGGCAGCAGCAGTGGGGTCTGTCCCCCTTACGGGTGAGAGTAAACCCACCTTGCACAAAGGACTGTAGTGCTGGGTACAGGTTTCTCAACGAAGGGAGTGCTTAATAAACCTCAGACTAGGGCAGACAGGATCTGTATTGCGTGTGTTCCAGTAACCCCCGCAGGGGCAGGTTCTCACGGCCTTTTGGGTGGTCTGATTCAGTTCTCTTTCTCTTTCTAGTTTGGCAACAATCCTTTCTCCTCCTTGGCTGGAAACACTGAGAGCTCGAGCTCCCAGCCTTTACGGACGGAAAACAGAGAGCCTTTACCCAACCCTTGGAGCCCCATACCACCTGCCTCACAAGCCCAGGTGCCCAGCAGTGAAGGGAGTGCTGGCTCCACGACCACCCAAAGCACACCGACTGTATCCAACCCCTTTGGGATCAATGCCGCTAACCTGGGCACTGGTACGTATCCTGGAGAAGAAACGGGTGCAGTTGGTTTGGCACCAGCCTCCCAGCTCCAGGTGGCTCCAGGTTGTGTCCAGCATCGCCGTGTTTGCTGTAGTCACTGAGTCTTTCAGATGAGCAAGTCTACCGTGATGCAAGTTGGAACAAATTGTTCCTTGTTGGGGCTGCCTGAGGGCTGTGTTGGAAGCTGGGCTTCATATTTATTTCCCACCCCCTCTTGGGGTACATGACTGCTTAGAAGAGGAGCAAATGAATGGCTCCAGGCCTGGCCTCTTGGAGCATTGCATTCTGGGGTGTGTAGTCTCCACCGGCTGCCAGACTTTTTTTTTTTAAGGAGTTAGATGCAAATTATTGCTGCTTTGCCCAGCATGTGGATGGACTAGAACAGGGGTGGGCAAAATGCGGCCCCGGGCCAGATGCACCCTGCCAGGCCATTCTATCCAGCCCGCGGGGCCCCTAAAAAATTTAGCAAATTAATATTGATCTGCCCCGGCTGCCTGTCATGTAGCCCTCGATGGCGTGCCAAAACTCAGTAAGTGGCCCTCTGCCTGAAATAATTGCCCGCCCCTGCTATAGTGGCCAGACTGCTTGATTTCCATTCTAGCGTTCTGATGGTAGCTTCTTGTGGGGTAGGGGTAAGGCAGAGGCCATACATTTGCTTTTGTTGTTGCTGGCACATGTTAACCAGCCCCGGGGGCAGGTAAAAGCTTGGGTGGAGCTCTTTTTAAAAAAAAAAAAAAAAAAAATTGTTTTAATCTCTGAAAATCTCAGGTGCTGTGAAGTGTGTGCTGTCTTTAGCCTTTGATTCTTTCTTGTGTGCCTTTTGGTGTGTGGCTGCCTGCCCTGTCTCTACAAGTCATGTGTTCAGCCCTAGGCAGCATCTCTCCTTTTCAGCAGTGATCAGGCTTGCAAAATGGTCTTTTGCTTTATCTCCCCTTTATCTGTCGTTTCCCCCCCCCGGTGTTGTCACAGGAATGTTTAACAGACCAGAGATGCAGGGTCTCCTGCAGCAGATATCAGAGAACCCTCAGCTGATGCAGAACATCATCTCTGCCCCTTACATGCGCAGTATGATGCAGACACTTGCCCAGAACCCCGACTTCGCAGCACAGGTAAAAGGGTAGGAGGGGCTCCTCATATAAACAGGCCTTGATGCTTTGCTTGTTAGAGAGCAGCGTTCTGATAGAGCTCCACAGAGTGAGCCAGCTTTTGTACAGAGGCTTGAAGACTGGTGTCTTCTGTTTATCTGTACAGCATGTACAGCCTGGTAGTGTCCCATCTTCCTGCCCTGGGAAGGAAAATCCAGAGTTGGGTGCCCACCCAGCTGCCCTCTCTGAATCTGTTGGGTAACAGCAGTAGGTGTGCGCCACACTGGGCTGCAGTTAGACTTTAATGAAGGCACCTGATAGCCATCTCCTGAGCCACGCAGTGCCCTGTAAAGGAACAGGAAGGCTCTCGGTATAAAGTGCCTCCAGCTCCCTGTGTTCATTGCAGCTCTCATCCCATGCCCTGTGGCCAGGACCTGACTGGCATTGTCACATACTAGACCTCTCAGTGTGGAGAACACACGTGGTCTCATGGCATAGGAGCAAGGTTGATAAGTGGCAGAGGCCCCGCTGACTTGTCTGATGTTTACTGTTTCCTCGCAGATCATGGTAAATGTCCCCCTCTTTGCTGGGAATCCACAGCTTCAGGAACAGCTCCGGCTTCAGCTCCCTGTCTTTCTGCAGCAGGTAAAGACTCTGGCCTGGCCTTGCTCCGTGCTGGGTTTCTGTGCCCTTGTAGCAAGGGAAGCTGCTGTGGTGCTTTTTGGATGGGTTGTGGGGCTGAAAGAACCAGGGGGGTGGCTCACAAAAGGAGATGGGGAAACTAAGGGCTCCTCTAGACAGGAATGCACAGCAAATCTGGGTTACCAACAGGCGTGCAATCATAGTGAGGTAATGAAATCTTATTAAATCCTGTGTGGGTGTTCACGGTCTCCTTGACTTTGGAGTGCAAGTTGGTTCATCTTCATTGGCTTTGGGAATGATGGAAGCTGAATGAAACAAAGGTGGTTTGAATCCTGAATGCCTGTGTCCACCTGGGGGGTTGTAGCAGCCTAACTAATTCGCTTGAATCCAGATGCATTTCTTCAGACCTCGGCGTTTCTGTGCAGGGACACTCACAAAAAAACAAGAGGAGATCTAGAAGCCCATGCCTACTGAGAAGTTGGATCCTGCTGTCCCTGGGAGCTGCCCCCCCCAGGCTCCTGACTGAAGCTCTGGCTTTCGGGTACCAGCTCTGTTTTTCCCTCTTTTCCCAGATGCAGAATCCCGATTCCCTCTCGATCCTTACCAACCCCCGCGCCATGCAGGCTCTCCTCCAGATCCAGCAGGGGCTCCAGACTTTGCAGACGGAGGCTCCAGGCCTGGTGCCGAGGTAATGAGGGCTCAGTTCTGCTTCTCCTGACACAGACAGTGGCTGTGCAGGCAAGCGGCGGGTGTGCCAAGGCCTTGCCTTGGGGATCCCTGCGGGCACTCCCCCGCACTGCTGCATTTAGCTTCCAGCCACTTAACTCTTTCTACCACTTCACACTGAAGAAGAAGCTCCCTCCATGCTCTTTCTAGCATTAACCCCTCATGCCCCATGCACTTGTCTGCAGTACATGGCATGATGTCAATTCCTAAACCTAGTGCTAGGGAATGCCCATCCTAGGGGCAAGATGGATATTCAGTCTGTAGCTTCCATCAGTAAGAGAGCCCATTTCTCCCAACTCTGCTTGTTGTGTGGATATAATTTAGCCAGGGTCAGTCTGGCATGAGAAGCTGAGGCTGTGTAATTCCAGAGAGTCTGGGCAGTGCGTCCTGATCCCCAAAGTCAGTGTTATCAAAGTGGTCTGTACTCATGGTAGCAGACAGTGAAGAAGGGAAGAGAGGAAAAACCAGATGGAAGCAAAAGCACAGAGCAGGAGAGATTACGGTGTACTTGTAGGGACATCACGAAGCAGTAGATCCACCCCTGGGGGCATGTGGCAGTGTGCAAAGTTCAGAAGGGTCTGCAGCCCAAGCAGCTTGGAACTGGTTCCTTTAGGTGCCCTTAGTTCCTCTGCCAGCCAGGACTGACCATGCCCATCCTGTGCTTCCCTCCGCAGCCTCAGCTCCTTTGGAATGCCCCGGATCCCCCCACCCACCACGGGAGGAAGCACAATCCCAGAAAACCCGGTCTCCTCCACTTCAACACCTGCCAGTGCCTCTCCATCTGGGGGCAGTAACCCCCAACAGCAGCTCATGCAGCAGATGATCCAGCTGCTGGCCGGGGGAAACTCTCAAGTACGTACAGGGATCAACTCCTTGGTTGTAGGCATCTCCTGTTCCCATGTGACTCTTGACATAGGCTGGGAGCATCCTAAAAAGCCTATGAGGGGGGCAACGAAAATGGTTAGGGGGCTGGGGCATATGACTTATGAAGAGAGGCTGAGGGAGTTCAACTTATTTAGTCTGGAGAAGAGAAGCCTGAGGGGGGATTTAATAGCAGCCTTCAACTCCCTGCAGGATGGTTGCAAAGAGGATGGAGCTGGACTGTTTTCAGTGGTGATAGATAACAGAACAAAGAGCAATGGGCTCCAGTTGCAGCGAGGGTATTTGAGGTTGGATATTAGGGAAAACTTTCTCACTAGGAGGGTAGTAAAAGCAGGTTACCCAGAGAGGTTGTGGGATCTCCATCCTGGTGGGGTTTTAAGCCCCGGCTAGACAAAGCCTTGGCTGGGATAATCTAGTTGGAGCAGGTCCTGCTTGTAGCAAGGGGTTGGATTAGATGTGACCTGAGGTCCCTTCCAGCCCTCATTTTCTATGATGGCACAGTATATGAGGGGTGTCATGGATAGGCTAGCAGCCATGTTGCAGGGGGGCTTCCCCTTAGCAACCCTCAGCTTTGCTGATGCCAAGAGCTGCATAAGATCTCAAAGCACCGCACAGAAGAAGCTGGTAGCATTAACCCCATTTTATCAGTGGGGGAACTGAGGCACAGAGAGGGGAGGTTTCGCTTGAAGTAAAACCCCAGGTCCCTGGAGTCCTAGTCCCGTGCTGTGTTCACAGGGCAACGCTGCTCAACACTGCTGTACGGCACCAGGAGGTACGGTGCTGTATTGTGTGGTTTGGGTGGCAGGAGTTGATCATAGCAGCTTGGCCACATCCCCACTGAGGACAGCAGCTGCCCTGCTGGGCTCGTTTGCATGGGATGTTCTTGCTGTTGCATGTTGTGGGCTGGAGCTGTCAGTCAGGCTTCAAGGTCAGCTGTCGGTGACCTTGAAATGGTGATATAAGTAGTAATTGTGGGATGTGCCTTGACCCAGTGCCCATGGCACTGGGTTGGAAGCCAGGAGACCAGGGTTCTGCTCCCAGCTTTGGCAGACCGCCTGCTTTGGGAGCTTGGGCAAGATGGTTCCTCTCTGGTGGTTATCAGGATTGAGGACATAGAGTACTGGGAAATCATCCGATGCACCTATGCTATGTCCCTG